TTTGTGACTGTTACATCATCAATACACTTGGTGATGTAGGCAGTGAGTCTCTGAGAGTGTGAGTCTCTCACACTCACACACACTCACTCACGCACACACACACTCTCTCTCTCTCACACTCACACACACACACGCACACTCACACACACTCACTCACTCTCACACACACACTCTCTCTCTCTCACACTCACACACTCATGCACACACACTCACTCACTCTCTCACACACACACACACACACACACTCACTCACTCTCTCTCTCACACACACACACACACACTCAGTACAGTAGCAGGAGTTTCTCCTCATGTCAGAATAATAGTGTGATGATGATTAATCAAAGAAGAGTCCCAAATGAAAACTCTCTTCATCTTTTATACACATCAGGTGCATCATGGGACGCATTGAAACTGATTTGCTGAAACAAATCCAGCATCAAGACGTTTTTAACTAAAATACATAGAGTCCATAATCCATAATAACTCTTCCTCCAGTGAAAAAGTGCATCTGCTGTTGTCTCTCACATCAAAATCCAGCCACATATTTGTTTAGAGCTGTTTAAACGCTGCTTGATCTGTGCAGATTTCTCTCCTGATTCAGACCAGAACACTTTTTTCACTGGAGGAAGTTATTATGGATTATGGACTATGTATTTTAGTTAGAAACGTCTTAATGCTGGATTAGTTTCAGCTTTTGTCTTCTCCAGATGTTAACTGATGGACTGGAGTGCTGTGGATTACTTGTGGATTATTGTGATGTTTTTATCAGCTGTTTGGACTCTCATTCTGACGGCACCCATTCACTGCAGAGCATCCATTGCATGGCGTTTTTTTCCATGTTAAGATGAACCTGCATCATTTTCTTCATACAGACACTGACTGAATAACTCGCGCAGCATTCTTCATACACTTCTCCAATTTTATTTTAAAAATCCTGATTATTTTGAAGCAGACACAAAGAAATAATACGAGAGTTTAAAAACACAGTTATTAGAAAGAGCGGCGGCTGATCCGAGAGCAGAATGAGCTTTACTACCTAATGATCAAAGCGTCTGATAAACTACAGAAATAAGTTTATAACATTTATACAAATGAAGGTTATTCCAAATCAAAATGACAAAGATTATAATATTGTTACATGTGGTATATAAACATTCAAACTTTACAAAATGTAATAAATGTATCTGTTAAAACTACAGAGGAAAAGAGGTAAATACCTTTAAAAGAACACAGTCCTCACAGCGTTTGTACATGAGACGTGCAGAACAAAACAAGCGTGTTTGAGCACAAAATGAGACGCGTGTAAAAATATCAGCGCCTAGAGAAGTCGAGACTGCCGTCACACATCACAGCTTCACAGACAGCTCTGAGATCCGATCCGATCCGCTCGCCAGATTCAGTGTTAAAGCTGCTGTCGGTCCAAACGCTGAAGTCCTGCTCCTCTCAACAGAAACTGCTGGTCACATGACTTCCTCTTCCTGCCGTCTGTGACACGTCTGTTACGAGGGCCAATCACATGAAAACACTTCCATCTTCACCCCAAAATAATGCTAAATCACATTTCCTGTCAAGAAAGTGAAGCCTAATTAAAGATTTTTTTGCAGTGACGTTATTTTCATAAACACATTTGTGCAAAAACTGATATTTTTCTCTCATTACTGTAAGCACAAATACTGTAAAGATGTATTTAAACCAGCATAAACTGAAGGAAGTACAAGAAATACTACCAGAATGCATAATTCAAATAAATGTCAAAAAAATATATCACAATAATGAGAATTTAGGGGTTAAATGTGTCATTAAAACAGCTTAATTATTTCTGAATGTGAAATCGGGTTTGTTTTGTGGTGAATATGAGTTTACTATGTATTGAGATGAGAGTTTAGGATGCAAACGCTAAACGACTCGCTACTGCTGCTAACGAGCACAGCTCAACCCGTCTGTGAGGAGCGAGGTGTGACGACAGCGTTAAAACAGAGAGATGAGGAGGAGCAGAACACAAACACACACTGACCTTTGACCTCTGACCCCAGTCTGTCCTCGCTCTGAACACAGCCAATCAAACACAACCGAAGACGTAAACCGTGAACAACTCAAGTTAAAATCTGAACAACACAAGAGAGAAACCTGCAGGTGAAAGGCAGCGGAGTCTCCCTCGTCCGGTGTGTGTGTGAGAGAGAGTGTGTGAGTGTGTGTGTGTGTGTGTGAGAGTGAGTGAGAGAG